TTTTTTTGTTGTTTTGCTTTGTTTTGTTTTTTTGAATGTCCAGAGGACCAGATTTAACTTTTTTAGATAAAATCTTTGATGTTGACACAAAAGGTTCTGTTAGGATCTAGACCATTTGAGGGCTGACCCTGTGATGCCCACCCACTGCTCTAGCCTAGAAATGAGGATCTCATGGTCGACGGTGTCAAAAACAGATATTTGTACAGTGAAAGTATTTTGACATATTCAGTTTGAGCATCATAAATGGTTCAGACTGTATTTTAGTCTAGGAAAGTATTTACCAGTAATTCCAAAATGTATTATCTGTCAGAACTCCACTAGAGGGGGAAAAAAAAGCCGCAACTGACCCTTGGGTTCTTGCTTCAACATTTCCTCTTTGTTTATTTCCAGGCTTGAAGGAGAGAGATTTGTACTCTGTTCTGAACACATGTAACGATCTGTCTTCACGAGATGGGCAGTTCACCTGGGAGGAAGTGCTGCAGCTCTCCAGAAAACCCAAAGGACGTGTCCCCATGGCAGTTTTTGCACATATTGTGCAGAGTTTACAAAGGCATGTGTCACATTAAATAGTGAATGCTGACTGGATTAACATTTTTATATACTGATCCTTTAAAATGTTCACAGAAAGTGCGTTGAAAAACCATGTTTTAATTTTATTTATGTATCCAGCCTAAAGTCATCACTGTTGTATTTAAAGATTCATAACCATTTTTTTTCCTTTGTCTTCTCAAGTATGTATTAAATTTACATTTAAAGTAGTATTTGACTACTAACGGGTGCAGGATTGTAACTAAAAACTAAAAGTAGAACAATGCAAGGTAAAAGCTGAAAACAGCAAATCGCAGGCAAAAAATATAGAAACATTAACTAAAAGTAGTAAAATGCTACATACAGTGCCTAGCAAAAGTATTCACCCTACTTGGCCTTTTTTGTGTTTTGCTAACTCAACCTGGAATTATAATGTCTTATTTAAGTGTTTGCATGATTTTATTTACAGAACCTGCCTACAACTTTGAACATTTGATTTTCTTTTTATTGTGAAACAAACAACAAATGGGACAAAATATCAGAATATTTCAGTGTGAATAACTATTCACCCCCTTAAAGTCAGGACTTTGTAGAGCCACCTTTGGCAGCAATTACAGCTGCAAGTCACATTGGATAAGTCCCTACGACCTTTCCACGTCTGGCCGCTGGGATTTTTGGACCATTCCTCAAGGCACAACTGCTCCAGCTCCTTCAAGTTAGATGGTTTCTGCTGGTGATCGGCGATCTTCAAGTCTGACCACACATTCTCAATTGGATTAGTGTCTGGGCTTTGACTAGGCCATTCCAATACATTTACACGTTTCCTCTTAAAGCACTCGAGTGTTGCTTCTGCAATAAGCTTGGGGTCATTGTCCTGTTGGAAGGTGAACCTCCGTCCCAGTCTCAAATCCCTGTCAGACTGGAACAGGTTTTTCCTAAAGAATATCTCTGTATTTAGCACCATCCATCTTCCCCTCAACTCAGACCAGTTTCTCCATCCCTGCTACTGAAAAACATCCCCACAGCATGATACTGCCACCACCTTGTTTCACTGTGGGGATAGAGTTTTTGAAATGGTGAGATGTGTTTTACGCCAGACAGTGTTTTCCTTGGTGGTCGAACAGTTAAATTTTGGTCTCATCTGACCAGAGCACCTTCCTCCTTACATTTAGGGAGTCTTCCACATGCCTTTTGGCAAATTCAGAGTGATCTTTCCTATTTTTCTCTGCAAGTAAAGGCAGTTTTGTGACCACTCTTTCATAAAGCCCAGCTCTGTGGAGTGTATGGCTTATTGTATGGACAAATGCTCCAGTCTCTGCTTGGGAACTCTGCAGCTTCTTCAGGGTTATCTTTGGTGTACGTGCTGCCTCTCTGATTAATGCCCTCCTTGCCCAGTCTGAGAGTTTTGGTGGGCGGCCTTCTCTTGGCAGGTTTATTTTGGCACCATGTTCTTTCCATTTGATGATAATGGATTTGACGGTGCTCTGTGGGATCATCAGAGATATAAATGAATAAAGCGTACAAAATTGGTTCAACAGTGAGAATGCTAACTCAGCAGTCTCATAAATAGTCATTGTGATTGTAAATGACATTTTTTGACACATTTGGGCTTTTACCTGCAGTCTGGTTGGTCCGTCTCACTGCCACGACACAGACGACCTGCTAACCCTGAGCAACCCAGAGGTGAAGCGAGCCTTTGAGGACTTTCTCCTCCCGACAGAGAGCGACAGAACCCGTGCACACCTCGTTCTGGCAGGTAGAGTACAAACGTCATGCTTCCTTTATCCTCCATGATGGTGATTTACTGTATCGTGACGTGTTTATTTAATTCGACAGGTCATCTGTGGGCGATGGCCGACCCTCGGGGCAAAGACACTTTCCTTCACTGCGAGGCCAACTCGCTCATGCATCTGCCTTCCAGCCTGGTTAGAAATCCTCCTCAAATTGTCGTCAAATATTTCTGGAGGTTGGCTTGTTTTTTTTGTCTTTCTTCTGATGTCCCTCGTTTGTGTTTAAGCTTGGAAGTGGGCAGCTGAAGGCGCTTCGGTCTCTGCTGTCTAACTTTTATTTCCTGCACGCCAGCGTGAGCCACGGCCTCCTGCATCACCTCCTGGAGACGTACAGCTTCTATGGTGACCCCCCGTCTGCGCTCCTTCTAAATTTTGTTTATTTATTTTAGATGTATAAAAGATAAAGTTTCTGTTAAATTCTGTTTTTCTTGTAGAAAAGGAGCAAACATCTTCCTCTTCTTGTAAGTTTAATTTAAGAAAAGATGCACAAATTCCTGTTAAATGTGTTTCTGGCTTCATTGCAGCTTTTTCTTCTTCTCTCAGTCGAGCCCCAGAGTCGTCTGGAAGACTGTCGTGGTTTCCTGCAGCGCCACGCCTCCTTGCTCTCTGCTTGGCCGGCTCTTTTCGTCCAGCAGGCGCTCGACGAGCCGGCGGAGACCTCGGCTCACGTCTGGGCTGAAGGTCTGATGAGAAGAGGAGGCGTTCGGGTCGTTGAGTGTCTGAACAAAGACAAAAAAAACAGTCAAGAATACAGGTAAAAAAGCAACAATTTAGTATAATGGAGTGGTGTTTGAATTAACTTCGTCCAAAAAGCAGCGCTACTTTGAGGTAAATTGGCAGAAAATACCATTCTATGATTGGTGCGTGTCCTTAATCCAATATGGCTGCCACGTCAGATTCACTTTAGCAAATACAAAAGGGGTTTTAACTCGGGTAGTTTTACACATACTGAGCTAAAATTTGATGTGGTAGCAGCTGAGTCGTCCTCAACATCCTCTGAGCGCTAACGGAACTTATGAGAGTTTGCAATAACAAATGAGATGGTGCAAATTACAATTTAATTAATTTAAAGATTAAAACTGCATAATTTTGTGTTAATATGCATTTCTTTAAGGAAGCCGGGGCTTTTATTTAAATCGGTGCTTTAATTAAAGTTGTCTTTGTTTCGCCACAGCCAGCTGGTGTCATCCTTCCCCTCTGAACCGACCTGCGTGGTCATGAGTTTGGACAAGCGGCTGATGGTTGTCGGAACCGGAGAGGGAACGCTGCACGTTCTTCACACGCAGACCGGGCAGGTAGGAACACGTACCTGCAGGAACACCTCCTCCCTGTCTGCCCTTCGTCATCAGCAGATCAGCTGGTTTCAGTGAATTTTCTTACATCATGTTTTTGTTGGGTTTGGATTTATTTATTCTCTACTTTGGTTGCAGAACAAAATCTGATTCTTGCTGTAAATCTTGGTTTTTGTTTCTGTGAGGTTTGACCAATCGTGCCTTCTCTTCAGGAAGTGAAGACGTTGATGAGCAGCTGTGACGGCGTCTCCAGTTGCGTCTTCCTGAACGACGGACGGCTCGCCTCCACCTCCTTCATTGGGCAAATAGAGGTCTGGGATGTTGAGAACGGCTGCAGGTGCGTGGAGCGTTAAATGTGCCTCATCCTGCTGGATTCTTTTAATGGAGCGTAACGTTTAAACTGCCCACGTGCTCTTCCTGCAGGGCTGCGCTCATTGACGGCCACTCTAATGCCATAACAGCGAGCGATGTCACCCCAGACAGGAAACACCTCGCAACCGTGTCTCTTGACTTCAAACTGAAAGTTGGTCTCAAATATATTGTTAATATCTTTGTTTTTTTTTTATGTTTCAAATTATTTGGAAGGCACGAAGACCAACCACTTGTAGATTCAGCCAAGCAGTGTTAGTAAATTTGGATTAATTGTGGTAATAAAATAAAATGAACTGATGACTGAACCCGTTGTATTTTCTCGTTTCTCAGGTGTGGTCCTCTGCTAAAGGTCATGAAGTGGCCTCTGTGCCCTGCACCAGCCCTTTGAACTGTGTGACCTTTGACCCCGAGGGTCACTTGCTGGCTGCCGGCTGCTGGAACGGACAAATTGTGGTGTGGAACTGGCTCCAGAATAAAGCATTAACTGTAAGTCAAGATAATTATAAAAGCTTAAATGAGTTTCCTCATTTAATTACTCGACGGGTTGAGTGTTTTGTGTGAAATGAAAAAATAAAAAAATATGAATTTCTCCACCTGAAAATTAACTTTTACTGAACATATCTGCCCCTTCAGTCCCTGTGCGGTCACCAGCGATCGGTGCGCAGCCTCTCCTTCTCCCCCTCCTCCATGCTCTGCTCCGGCTCGGTGTCCGGTGAGGTGAGGGTGTGGTCGGTGCTCACCTCCACCTGCGTGGGATGTTTCCAGGCTCACGACGGAGCCACCGAGGCCCTCGCCTTCCTGAATGAAGGAGCCATGCTTCTGAGCGCCGGCTCCGACCACACGGTGATCTCATCCTTAAATTACACTCAGTTTTTGCCTTTTGACGCACACTTTGTAAACCGGTGGTTTTTCTCTTAAATCTCAGAAACTTTGCTCTGTTCCCACATTAAACAATTACAAACTAAAATTATAGCGCAGGTTAGGTGCAACAGATGATTTCAAATGAGCAATTTTACAGATCATAACATAAAATATCCCTTTGTTTGTTTTGTAAAACAGCTCCAGCTCTGGTCAGGAGGACTCGGTCGTTTAGTCACCACTTTAAAAAGTGACGAAGTAAGCTCCTACTAATTTAATCTTTTGTCTTTCTGTGTTTTTGTCTCATAACGGCAACTTTTAAGTTTGAAGTTTGCTTATAATAAAAGGTCAAGTCTTGTAAAATGTTTTGAAAGTAAACATGATTTTTGAACTATAAAAACTATAAAGATTATATTTTCAACTTGTTAATCAACAACACTCAAAAACGTCTATCAAAATTTAGGTGTGAAGCTCTGAAAATGTTTAATTTTGATGTTTAAGTGCGATCCAGATCCTCCTCGGAAGAAGCTGAAGACTGAAGCGTCCGACACTCCCGCTCTCTGCGTGGCGGTAAATGGAGACTACGCCGCTGTGGGTTACCATGGTGACGGCATCAAGCTATTCAGTCTGGAGTCGGGTGGGTTTAAACGTCACATAAAAATATTATAGAAATAAAAATATTAGAGCTGTCTTTCTTTAAAGAAGGGATTGTAGAAGCGCATTGTGGTGCTCATTGTCTTTTAAAAAGGAGTTTTCAGTGGTTTATTTGTTCCTATAATTTGAGGTAAAAAATGATCCTAAATAATGATTAAATGCTTCCTGTCTTCAGGTGAGAAGATCTGGTTCACCTCGGACCTCAAAGTGTCCATCCACTGCCTGCTGTGGGTCTCTGTGGACTCTGAGCAGAACGAGCCGGAGCTGCTGGTTTCTGGAGGGAGCGACAAACGTTTGAGGCTGTGGAAGAAAACGGAAGGAGAGGAGGGAGTGATGGGGGGCCTGATGAGTCTGGGAGAGTTTGGGGTGCAGACGGACACCGTCCTGGCTCTGGTGCAGAACTCCACATTTCTGGCTGCAGCTTCAGGTCAGTTTTCTCTGTTTAAATTATCTAGATCATCGTGTACCCGAGGTAATAAAGTTGGTGAGTTGTTGTTTAAGACAAAACAAACATTTTTAGGATTCAAGTCACCCAGCATCTTCTAGAGCTAGATTTTTGTTTCTTGTCATATGCAAAATCAACACAAGGTCAACAATTCAATGAAATGCTCAGGCTGAGAAGAACCGTCTCCACTCACCAATAAAACATCAAGAAATACCAAAGCATGCAACAAAAATACAAAAACAAGGCGCCAAAAGTGAAAGAGAAATACATCTACAGCAGCATAGTCCTATTAGCAGAGTGGTTCTGTTGGCAGTCAGGTTCTCTTAGTAACATGGTCCCGTTAGCTAGTTTATATTGCCAGGACTTGGCATGGTCTCATCTGCCACTTGGCTTACATGGCACCTGACTTGATGGTTCTCCTCGCAGGCGGTGGACCCACCTGGAGGTAGCACCCTGTCTTCTCAGGCTTGTCCTGACCATGCCCCAGGCTTTGAGGCTCGACCCCCAGGCAGGGCTCCACATTTGGACCCCGGTTTCCCTTTTCTGGGCGGGGCCTTCCTTATTTAATTCATATTTATCCTAAAAGAGTCTTTGCCTCAGGTGGAGGGGTTCTAGTATCTGGGCGTCTTGTTCACAAGTGACGGTAGGATAGAGCGGGTGATGGATCGATGGTTTGGGGCCTCGCTTTCAGTAATGAGGGTGTTGCTTTGGTCTGTAGTGGTGACGTAAGAGATGAGTTGAAAGGCAAAACTCTTGTTCTACTGGTCCATCTATGTTCCAATCCCACCTGTGGTCATGAGGTTTTGATCGCGATCGAAAGAACGCAATCCCAGATACAAGCAGCCGAAATGATCTTCTTTCATGGGCTCAGCCTTAGAGAGGGTGAGGAGCTCCGTCATCCAGGAGGAGCTCAGAGTAGAACCACTGCTCCTTCGCATTAAAAGGAGACGGCTGAGGTGCTTCGTCTGATTAGGACACTTCCTGGATGTCTCCATTTGGAGGTTTACAGGCGTGTTCCAATAGGAGACCCAGAACTTCTTCCAAAAGTATTTTAACACAAAAAGAAGAATAAATTTATGACTCGTGCCTCCGAGTGCCCCTTTTTTAATGCTAAACTTTAAAAACCCATTCTTACCTCAAAAACAAAACTGAAAATCTGGTTTAGTTGAAGGAAAGTTGTGTTTTCATCCAGTTTCTCTGTCAGCCTAGTAGTAATTTTATTAACTTGCATTGCTTTTGATATCTGCGTTTATTTTTCCAAACAGATGATTTCTCCATCGTGCTGTGGTCGCTGAAGGATCTGACTCTTAACTTGTCGACTGCCGCGCACGAGGTGCTGAGGGGCCACAGAGGAGGGGTCACCTGTTTGGCTTTTAGCCCTGATGGTGCACAGCTGCTGTCGGGTGCAAAGGACCAGGTACCTGCGCTTAAATAAACCTATTTCTGTGTTTTCTAAGCAAGTTGGGTTTTTACTGAAATGTGTCGTCGTCTTGTGAAACCACACAGTTTGAATCTTTGAGCTGTTAAAATCCAGTAAATTAAAACTTAACATTTTAGGCACTTCTTTCTGCCTTTTGTTGATTTTCTGACTTTAATGGTTTGCAGCCTCACAACACTGAGTAAATGAGCGTTTACCTAAACCTTTAGTTACATCCAGCTCCTCATTTGCAGCTGGACTGAGATGAATCATGTTTTTGTTCCAGGCTCTGATGGTTTGGGATGTCGGCTCCTCTCCTGCTGCTCTTTCTAAATCGCTCCTCCACGCTCACAGAGACTGGATCACCGGCTGCGTGTGGACCTCTGACTGTGTTGTGAGTTCTCGTTAAGTTCAAGAACATTACCGCCCAAATTTACCTCAAATACGCTTCAACAGATTTTATTATAGTGCAAAGTCCCTTAACATGGAGGTGAACCAATGTTGAGTTGAAAATATAAAATGGTCGAAGATATAAAATCATTTCAGCTTCAGCGAGTATATTCTGAAAACAAAAGCAGTGTGAATGCTAAATAACTAGAAAAATTTGCTGAAGCTGAACCTAAGTTGCTAAAATTAGAAACAGAACCCTCACTAATAAAAGCTAGCCATCAGTTAAATGTGACAAAAGGCTAGCTAAGAGCTAAATGTAGCAACAAAATAGCTAAATGCAAAAAAGGTAGCTAAATGAGGCAAAAGGCTAGCTAGGAACTTATTGTGGCAAATGACTAGCTAACAGCTAAATGTATAAAAAGGTTAGCTAATACTTAAATAAAAGGCTAGGAAATGGCTACATAAAGTATAAGGCTAGCTAGCAGTTAAATGAAAATCTAGCTAACTGCTAAATATGGCAAAAGGCTAGCTAAAAGCTAAATTTAGCAAAAGTGCATTGCAATGGTAGCTAAAAGACCAAACTAAAGCAAGAAGGCTAAGACAGATTTTAAAGAGAACATTTTTGTAAAATTTGAAATGTATTTCTACAGAGAAAATGTTAATAAAGTGAAATATTTAGAAAATTATTAGATGTTAGAAAAAATAGTCATAACGTCTCCTGGATGAGATAAAAGTTTTGATTTAGGAATGGCTGAAATGGCAAAATGAATAAAGAAGCAAATGGATGAAAAAGAATACGCAAAAAATAAAATAAAACAGGAAAGCAATACTGCAAATACCTCAGCTATAACACAGTTAGATATATTTGCAACTTATCTTGATTTAAAAAATAAATAAATAAAACTCGCTAAACTCCAGTTTAAAAAGCCTTCTTGTTTAAACCGCTCCTTAAAGACTTGTCTCTCAGCTCTGCCTCCTGTTTTCTTTCAGATAAGCTCTTCTAATGATGGGAAGCTTTGTCTGTGGAACCTGGAGGCAGGTTTGTGTCTCAACGAAATCCACTGGAGGGATCCTCTGACCTCCGTCTGCTGTCTGGTGAGTCAAATAGAAAACTGTCGGGACGAAAACAAACAGCATCTCTGCAGTTACTTCATGTATCACTGGAGCCAAAGCGTTCCTGGGATTGTTTTACAACAAAGAGCTTTATGGCTTAATCTTGTGGAGGGTTAAGTTTTTTTTTGATGAACGTTGAGTTGACCGTCTGTCCGCGTGCAGGATCAGTACGTGATCGCCGGTAGCTCGGAAGGCGCTCTGCATGTTTGGGATTGGAAAACGAGCGCAGAAATCTGCCACATAGCTGCTCACAAGCAGCGAATACACCACTGCTGTGTCCTCCCAAACACCGGTACGACCCCGGGTTTCCTTTCTCATGTTTTCTCATATTAAAATATATTTTAGAAACCAGCAGACCGTCTTTTTGAATAAATGTTTTCTTTTTTTTGTTTTAGATGAGACAAAAGAAACAAAACCAGGGGAACTGACTGTTTTCACAGCGTCCGACGATGGAACTGTGCAGCTCTGGAAACCTTTGCAGGTCTCGGTCCAGATTAAATCCACCTAATTTATTAAATTCTCCCGCTAATCTCCACGCCGGACAGGAGATTCAGATTAATCCGCAGTTTCTTCAAAATTTTAGATTAAGCCACAGTTTTGTCTTCTCTCTCGCAGAAATCTTTTTGTGTTCTTCGTCCAGGTGGAGCACTTCAGCACCTTCCAGGGACACAGCGGCCCGGTTCACGGAGTCGCTGTTAAAACGGGCATCCCAGAATTCCTCACCGTCTCCGAAGACCGCTCAATGAGGTGTTGGACCTGGACGACAGGTGAAACTGAGCGATGCCTCATTTCTCCACAGCATCTTGCAGTTTATGTTTTAAAGCTTTTGGATTTTGTTTGTTTTTTGGCTTCACAGAGAATGCTAAGAATCTAAAAGGCGCTATTTCAGCTCTGTGTCTCTCTGAGACGGAGGATTTGCTGCTGGCCGGTTATGAGTCTGGTTTGCTGGAGTTGTGGCAGCACAATGCAATCGTTGGCCACAAGCAGGTGAACGTAACTCATAAAAAGACGATTTAAAGGCCGTCAAAACCAACCAGTTAAAGGCTTAGTACTTAAAGGAATTCACATCACCCACAACCCTTCATGCCAAGTTCAAGACTCTTTATTATCCCCAAGGGGCAATTTGTTTCACAGTATCAGTCAATCAACTTTATTTCTATAGCACATTTTAAAAACTGCAAGGGTAGCCGATGTGCTGTACAATAAGACAAAAAGACAAATTGATTAAGACAATAAAAACATACAAAGCATACACAAAGAAACATAAAAATACATGCATACCAGTTTCATGGCAGGTGTGTTAAGATGCCATAAAAGATGAGATCACGTGTTAAAAGCCAAAGAATAAAAGTGTGTTTTTAAAAGAGAGTTAAAACCAGGAAGAGAGGAGGCATGTCTGACACTCAAGGGTAAGTTGTTCCACAACTTGGGAGCAGCAACAGCGAGCGCTCCGTCACCTCTGAGCTTCAGCTGAGTTTTAGGGACTGTCGGCAGCAGCTGATCAGCTGATCGTAGGGATCTTGGTGGGCAGTAAGGCTGAAGCAGCTCAGACGGATATGAAGGGGCAAGGTTGTTCAAGCGTTTAAAAACAAACCGCAAAAGCTTAAAATGAATTCTTTAGTGCACAGGGAGCCAATGAAGGGACGCCAGGGTGGGAGTAATATGCTCACGCCTACGGGCCTGAGTTAAAAAAATAAATAAATAAATGCTGAAATTAGCAGAAAAACCTGAGAAGAGCTGAATCAGAACAAAAGGTGAAATGAAGGTTTTGGATGTTAAGAGAGCTCTGTTCATTTTCAATGAGTAAAAACATGGCCGAAAAATCAAATCCAAATGAACAAATTGCTCAAATACCAGAAGTCACTGCAGGAATGAGCTGAACGTTGTGATGAAAATAGCTTCCACATCACGTGTCAAAAACCTAAAAAATAAACCCACAGCAAGAAATGGATCTGAATAGTGAGAAGCTGAGTTCTTGTTTGGTTGTTTGTCCAGACGTCGGGCAGACCGGTCGCGGCAGCCTGTTGGATGCCTGACGGGCAGTTCGCTGTCAGCTACCTGAACCACACGGTTGTTGACGTGTGGAAGCGGGTGTGGAACCAACAACGCAGTAAAGCAAGGTAAACAACAACAAGTCAGACATAAACATTACCCTGCATGTTTGGTAACTGCAGCTAAAACATAATTCGTTTAAAGCTTCGTAACGCGACTGCTCACCGTTGTATTTTAATTGTTTATTCACATTAAGAAACTAGAAATTTACAACAAAAATAGATCCCTCTAAGTTTTTGTCTTGAACTTTTTTAAATCCCTCTAAGTTGTTTTTAAGTTTTTACAAATGCTGACGTATTTATAAGACTGTCATGTCTTAAAGGGATCGTGTTAATTTTTAGCCTTCAGTTGATTATAAAGTCATGTGCTACATGAACCATAATATTTAAGAGTTTTATTTGTTTAAATTTATTATAAACCTTTTTTCTTACCCGTCATACTGGGACATCCGTCGTCAAACGTCTTGTTTTTGCTCAATAAATTAGTTTTGTTCAAAATTTTTAAAAAATGTTAACGCTTGCCTTTTCATTTTTGCATTTTACTGTAAATACACATATTTCTCTAGGTGTCAGTGATCTTTTTTGATCTCTTAAAAACAATAAATCACACTAAACAAAGAGTCAAACGTAAACTTGCAACTTGTTCTTTATCTTTTAAATGTGCAGATTTTGGTTCAAGTCAAATTTATTAGTAAACATAAAGAGCCAATATTTATAATCATTCTATTAATGTTTTAAATGTCTCAGAAGCTTGAAACTAAATAAATCTGAAACGTAAAACTGGATTAAAATGGCACTGAAATATTGTTTAAGGAACCGGTTTAACCGTTTGGAACGCTGTGACCGATGTAGAAAACCAAATCAAACTTTATTTGTGACGGCTTTTTCAGACAGTCGAGTGTAACACAAAGTGCTTCGCAGCAGATGAACAACTAAAACGAATGAGAAGCAGAAACTCTGAGCACAACAACAGTCGACTGATCTTTTAATTTTCTCTCCTCTTTCTGCCGCCTCCAGCCTGGTGAAGGTGACGGCGTTCAAAATTAAAAGCCCGGTGGCTCGGCTTTTTTACTGCTCAGTTCTGCTCGGTGTGACCAACTCGGGAATGCTCTGTGTCGTGTCGACAGCCGACGAGGACGACTACAATCAAGTAAACAGCGAGTAAGTTTCTAACTCCGTTTATTTGGGACTTCAGCGGCCCGAACGTCCAGCTCTCAGGACTCTCTTCATAATTTGCTTTTGTCCTTTGCTGACTTCACAGAAAGTTGGAAATTAAAAATGGTTTGTAGGTTTTGAGCTTTTTGAACTTTTATTGGAAGATAAAAATGTCTCCTTGATTCAATTCAGTTACTTAACCTAAAATAAAATGTATTTATATATTTTTCAGACTCAGAATTGTCTTTGTTACTGAAATCTCAGAATTCTTGATCAGGTCAGAATTTCCTCTTTAATAGAAACATTAAGAACTTTATTTGAGGGGAGGAAGTAATAATTCCTTCTTTTTTCTCTCTCTCAATCTGCCTTAAACTCTGAATTCTCAGAATTCTTAGATTTAAAGTCAGAATTCTTGGATTAAAGTCACAATTTAGACTTTTTTTCCTCAGAATTTTCAGATTAAAGCAAGAGTTTAGAATTTTTCTCTGAATTGTAGCTTAAATCCCAGAATGTCTTAATCCTCAAATTAAAGTCATAATTCTGATCTTCCTTTCCTCAGAATTATCTGATTAATCCCCAGATTCTGACTCCACCCCCACCCCCAAAGAATTAAGATTTGATTTCTCTGAATTCTGAGAAAAATTCTAAATTCTTACTTTAATCTGAGATTTGTGAGATTCTGGGATTTTAGTAAGAAATCAGGAAAAAAGTTGGAATTCTGACTTTAATTTGAGAATTCTCAATGAAAAAAGGTCCGAACTCTAACTTAAATCCCAGAATGTCATAATCCTCAAATTAAAGTCAGAATTCTGACTTTTTTTCCAGATTTCGTACTAAAATCCCAGAATTTCACAAATCTCAAGTTCAAGTCAACTTTATTGTCGTTTCCACCACACGTGGTCCATGAGGCGGAAACAAAATTATGTGCACAGGGTCCCAGTTACACCCAAAAATAACAAAATATAAAGTTTAAAAAGAAACAGTAAATAAGGATCTAAGATATAAACAAGATATACGCTAGACACTAATAATGTTTTTTAAAAAAAAATACAGTGTAACAACAGCAGCCCGAACATGAGTCTGTGGTTAGCAGATGGATATGAATGAATACAGCAACATGAGATAATCAGCAACATGAGATAATCAGCAGCATGAGATAATCAGCAGCACAGATAAGTCACAAGTCGACTTTCTGAGACGAAAGTCAGAATTCTGTTTTTTAAAAAGGAAAAAACAAAATCTCAGAAGCTTTAATCCTTTTCTGTATCTTCCGTACTTCTAAATGTGAGTTTTTATAATTGTTTGTGTTTTACACTCCGAGGAACTTCACAGTGAAAATAATGCCGAATTCTTTTCTCGCTTCCAGCTGGACGGAGCGGGTCCGTTTTCGTGGCGTTGTTCGGAACGATGAGAAGAGCCTGTGGCTGATGGGAGAGGGCAAAGGAGAAGTTCACGTCGGCTTCGTTGTGAGTTTCGCTCGGCTGCTTGAACTTTTTTTTTTTAACATATTTTCTAAAATTCACCGTCACGTTCAGGATGAACATTCAGTCTGTAACAGTTGGGATAAAATCAAACCTTCCTTAAAGGAATGCATATCGCCCGCCACCCACACTTCTTAATGATCGGACTCTGGAAGTTGTAGACATCCATCCGTTGAAAGCTTTACTTGCATAACCCTGGGAGATATTTTCATAACACACAACAAATGGACATAATTGCTCATTTTGTCATAGAATTTGGTGATTAATGTGTAAAAATAAAAAAACTGAACTAAACCTTTTTATATACTGTACATATTAAAGACGGTAAGTGACAAAAAGTGTTTATTTGAAGTGCAGCACACGGAGTGTTGTAGAAACATCCTGGTTGATTTTAGCTTTTAACATCAAGAAGACTTCTTCATAAGCAAACATCTTAAACATGATGAGGAAATATAACATTTAAATCCATCTGAGTACCCTGACAGGCAGTTTTTGTCCTCCAAGTCCAATATATGATCTTTATTGAAAGAAAGTTACTCCTACGGCACTGGACGGAGTTATGGGGATTCAGCCGATCTCCTGGTTCGAAACTAGGGTTAGCTCTCGATCCATTCTGGTCAGCTCAGCAACAGACATGGAAACAATAATCTGGCCTGTGTGAAACAGACCTACCAGTAATAATCAATAACCCTGGGCTTTATAAATATCAAAAGCCATCATAAATAGAAGCAGTACATGTTTTATCATCATTACTATAGTAATATAAGTTAATAATATAAATAGAATCAAGCTCATTATTTGAGTACTCTTAAATATTCCTATTATTAAAGTTTATTTTTATTTTTTGTCTTATTCAGGGTAATGTGGTGAGTGAAGAGTGGTGGGGTGGCGCCCTCTACTGGCCAGTCCTAAACCCTAAAATCATTTTGTCTGCTTTAATCAATCACCCCTCCTTCTGTGTTTTAACATTAATAGCCCCAGTTCTTTAACAATATGATGTTTTTATGAGGTGAAAAAAGTATTTACAGATGGAATACTAATTTTTTTCTTCTTCTTTTTCTTCTTATTATTATTCAGTTTTGGATCAGCCCAGAAACGTCTCTACATTCAGCTTTCAGCTCGGAGAAAATGAAGTGCGACGAGGACAAAAAGGGAGCCCTGATTACAGCGCTGACCATAGACGGAGGTAAAAACACGCTCCAGTCGGGTGAAAGTAAAGAAATATGTGACGTTTGCTTTAATGTTCACCTGAACTCGATCCATCTGGTCGTTGCAGCTTTAAGTAGGGTTTTTAATTTTTTTATTTTTATTTAAATAGATCTGTGTGTGTGTGTGTTTTCCAGAGTTTGTGGTGTGTGGAGACGTGGACGGAAACATGTGGTTCAATCAGCAGCCGGATGTTTCCTCCTGGAGCGACAAAAGACCCGTAAGAGCCAGAACTGCTCGTTTTTTGTGTTTTTATTTATTTACTGATGCTGCTGCTGCCCTTGGGTCGAAATGACCCACCAGGCCCCGTCTTAAAACTGAAGCCTCATGCAGCTCGATTGCATAGCGCTGAAGTGTGTTTTGATATTTTGCTTTACAAAAATAAACCTTTTACTTGAACTTTTTAATGCAAGTTCTGCTCCCTGGTTTTAGCCATCAAGTAATGACAAAAAGAAAACAGAGTGTCTTCTCAAAATGAAAATCGATAAAGAATAAGTTTCTGGGTGAATCACGGCGGATGTTTTTGTCGTCAGGCTCACAGCGACAGAATCACGGAGCTCAGACTCACCGGCAGAACCATCATCTCCGCCTCCTACGACCGAACGGTGAAGCTGTGGGACAGAAACACCAAGAAGCAGGTACGTCGCACCTTCCAGTGACAAACCGCCCTGATTTTAGTGAGAGCGACCAAACATAAACGTCTTCACCGTACTTGTCATGAAAGGTATTACCGTATTTTCCCGACTATAAGTCGCACCTTTTTGCATAAATTAGCAAGTCCTGCGACTTATACAGCGAAGCGACTTATTTATGTTTTGAGACCCCAGGGCAGACCCAGAACTCGCTGGATGGATTATAAATCCTCTGGCCTGGAAACATCTCGGGCTCCCCCAGCAGCTGGAGAACGTTACTGGGGAGAGGGAGGTCTGGGTTTCTCTCCTGCACCTGCTCAGGATAAACCCCAACCTGAACCACAGATGAGCTTTAGAAGATGGAAAATAAAAAAGTCCCAATAAATATCACAAAATACGATCATTTCACAACAAAACGGCTCGTTTTATTTAAATAATTTAACACGTTTTCAGTGTTTCACAAGAAAAACTGATCATTTCAGTTATTTTTTGCTTCTCCTCCCTCAGGTGGGAATGTTTGTGTGTGAAGGTCCGGTTCTGTTTTTGGAGGTGGACCCGAGAAAGCCCCGAGAGCTGGTGTGCGCTGACGAACAGGGAAAACTTTACTTCCTCTGCTGGAGAGAGTAGCCCTCTCAGTACTTTACAAATCCAGAATGTAGTAAATATTCAGTGATTTACCAAAGACTGTAAGTTTTATTTCCTCTTTATTGCTTGAAGTTGTGAATTAAATTACTAAAGGAAGTTAAAATGTTTACGTTGGGTTGAAGAGAATTTTGTTGACGCAACAATCAGGTGTTTTCTTCACATTTTCTTTTTGTTTGGTTTGGTTTTGGAATATAAAATCCTTTTTTTGTTTTCTTCCAATAAATCAACTCAAACTCTGGTTTTTGCATTCAGTGTTTTTCTTTTTTTTTCTTTTATCAGATCAAATTATTTTTACAAAATGTTTAATTTCTTTATATTTACCAAGTGCTTGCAGCAGTTATTAATTACCAGCAATTTACTGTCAACATGGTTTTCAAAAGTATAAAAAGTATTTAATTGGCTGAAGAGACTGAAACTTGGTTAACAAACGCAGAACACCTGCTAAAAGCTAAAAGATGAACAATTCTGGACAAAAGTCAAAAGTAATATAGCCTACTAGCTAAAAGTAACACAACACAATGGCAGCTAAAAGTAGGAAAACAATTTCTATAAGCTAAAGTGGTAAAATGTTCACTAAAAGTAACAAATTAAGTAAAAGGCTATTTTAAGGCTAAAGACATTAAATTTTAGCTAGAAAATAAAAGTAGGAAAAAGCAAGCTAAAAGCTAAAGGTTATATAAGACTAAAGAAGCAAAGACTAGCTAGAAGTAACAAGCTTATGTAAACGATTATCAAGGCTAAAGTGGTTAAAGGCTAGTTGGAAGCTAAAGTAAGTAAAGGCTAGCTGAAAGCTAAAAGTAGTCCAAATTTAGAAGCTAAAGTAACTAAATGCCAGTCTTAAGTTAAGAGTAAGTAAAAAAAACTAGCTAATAGTAGCATAAGGCTAGTTAAAAGGCCAAAAGCTAAAGTTAGCAAAAGGATAAGTAAAAAGTTAAAAGCTGAAGAAGTAAAATGTTAGCTAAAAGCTCCTAGTGGAAAAAATGCTACTAGAAGCTAAATTAACAAATCGCTAAATCAAAGTAGCAAAAGTTGATAAGTTCGCTAAAAGTAGAAAGAATGGCTAGAAACTAAAAGTAGCAGTGTTACCTAAAATCTAGAAGTACCAAAAAGCTAGCTAGAAGCTAAAAGTAGCTAAAGATAAGCTAAAAGTAGGAGAAGACGAGCTCAAAGTATCAGAACAATAAAATCTACAAGTAGCAAAAAGGTAACTAAAAGCTAGAGGTAGCTAAATAGTAGCTAAAAGCTCAAAGTAGCATAAGAAAACAATCGAAAAAAAACATTGTTTAAAAAAAAACATTGGTCTTGAAAATTCCTCAATTGTATCACGAGGAACATATTTTTAAATAGTTATATTTTTTTTCAAAGTTTAAAAGTTATTCAAACCAAGGCCGAATCAGCATTCACACAAAAAAATGTTTGACAAAAACTAAAATGAACTGAATGGATGTAAAAGAGTGATGGAAGTGTTGTATAAAACGCGGTGTAATGGACAACTCTACTCGCAGCCTACAGAACTTTTACTGCTTTTTAGATGTACTCGTTCTCTGTAATACTGTGGTTCAGGCTCATTACATGAACGTATTAAGAATTTCGGGATTCGTGTACGCTGCTTTTTCTTAATTTAGCAAATCGAAATAGTGATTTGTAGCCTAGGGCCGTCTGAAGTTCAGTTTTCCGAGTGGTACATAAACACAACATAAATGATCCGCAGTTTGCACGCGAAACAGACACGCCCTCTTCTGGACCGCAGCACTCGGATGGGAAAGGCATGACGGGATCCGCCAGTTTCAAGTTCAGCCGCTTCATAGAAAAAAAATCTGAGGAAACTAATCTCAACTGGTTTGATTATTATTTTTATTTAACTATTTATTTACAGAACAGGGTTCACTGGTAACTGCTAGGCCCAGAAAGTGAAAACAACAGACACGGACTCGACGGCGCAAACGCTTAAAGTTAATTAAAGTCAACTAACGCCGCATAACCAGCGGAGTGATCTCATGTTAAACGGGGACACAGCGGCTAGCTGAATGGTACGTTCACGGTTAACTTTCAAAGTAACGGTTAACGCTGAGCGGAGCGACTTTTAGCCGATAAAAGTGTCGTTTTTGAAGGTGAATGTGATTTATAAACCCCGTTAATAACTTGAAGCGAAAAGATACATTTTAAACATAGCAAACCTGGATTTGATTCTGGAATGTGGTGATGGAGAAGGAGGAGGAATCCCCTCTGTGAGTAATTTAGCTGACTTTGTCGTTTAAAATTATCTTTTTTTTTTTTCTAAAGTGTTATGTTATTTCGTGTTCTGTACCCTTAAACTGTTCTGACTCAAACACATTACTTGCACTTTATTAAAAGTTTTCATTTTTCCAACGCGTTTTGTTGACTTTGAACGCATCCGCCAAACTTCTTTTTATGTCAACATGGCGAGTTTAATCCCAGATTACAGGTGAAACACCAAATATAGAGTCACCTGTCACGTTCTGTTGGCTATCTCTTTTAATTTGCTTTATTATGTGAATAAATTGAACAAAAATTGTGACCACGACGGGCAATTTAAAACTTCAAAGATTGACTGATTGAAGTTTTGTGGTCATTTTGCATGTTGTTCATGTCTTTAGTCCTATTTTGCTTCCAATCTGTAGTTTTATTTTGTCTGTTGTTGTTGTTTCTACATTTTTATGGTTTGTTGGCTCATTTGGTGCCTCATTTGAATTATGTTCTTTTTCTCTTATATCTCTGTTACATAGTTATAATTGTTTTGTTGGCATGTATGATCTAATTTAGCCTTCCTTTGGTTATTTGTTTATGATTTTTGTTTCTACTCGTGGTCATTTTGCAGGAAGATTTCAGCCAGATGCAGCATTTAAAGGATACAATCATGTGTTACCTGTCTTACTTGCTGAAACTTCTGTACTGTTTTGTCCAGAACCTTTTATAAGATGTGCAAACAGGTTCTGAGATCATTTTATACGGAGCTGATAAAATATTGAGCTTTGTTGCCATTAAGCGTCTCAAGGTCAGATATAACTTTCATATCCAGACTTGCCTCGTGAGCATAAGCATGAAAATTGTATTTGGCCACGCTTCAAAACCACGTGAGGCTTTCTCAGAATTTCCCTTCAGCTGTTTGAGTCAACACAGCCGAGGCTTTAGCTCATATTTTTGTGATTTTTTTCAATCTCCTTTCAGCACAAAGCTGCGCTGTTCGGCAAGCCGCTCGAGAAGCCAAGTCCCCAGGACCATCTGCAAAAACACAGGTGACGTTTCAAATAAGTTGCCATTTTTTATTTATTTGCAGGAACGTTTTAGAGCCAGTTTACACTTTATAGTTATTATAAAATATATTCCACTGTCTTCTAATTTAAAACTAAAGCTTTTTAAAGATGAACAGAACGGTGAGGACTCATTCGTGACAGATTCATGACTAAATCGGTAAACTCTCTGACATCAATGTGACTTTTTCAGGACAAAAGATCGATGTTTAAAGGAATGTTTAAGACAAACAAGTCGACCAAAGAAGAAGAACCTCAGTTTAGTTCTCGCTCTAATTAGCTGCTTTATAAAACATTAAATCTGTGTCAGATATGTGAGAACAGAAATACTGAGTTGATTCATTCAGGTGACGAACAGGGTCAAATATTTAATTTTGATCATTTTTAACTTTAAATAAAGGTCTACCACGTGGCACCTCATGCTTTGGGAAACATTCCAACTATTTAACAATTATTAATTCTTGTGTACGATTACTATGAAGTCATTTAAATAAATGAATCTGTTCTGTTTTGTACTTAAAGCTCGGGGAGCGTATCTCATTTTATCATCAATTTACTTACGTATTTATGCCATTTTTCTGCTTCTATTGTGAACTAAAATCTGCTTTTTGCATCTCAGTAAAAGCAAATTTTATATAAAAGTTAACCGATGTCCATAAAAGGCTTAAGATCATCCAACAGCAGTGAGAATTTTAACCCTTTTTTTGCCATCAGGACACAATTTATTCACAAAATCCTGAACTGGCTGCCAGCAGTGACGGTTTATCAGACAAGTCTTCAAAGATAGTTTCACGTTCTGTTTTTGTATTCCTCCAAATGAACCAAATTATATATTTATAGAATAAAAATGTCTCCGTCAGGATAAATCGGGTGTGTTGGTTGGCATGCTGAAGTGATCTCCTCGACCGGGACACGCCCGCAGCCGCAGGCCTTCTCAGGTACATCAGGAACACCCAGATATTCACAGCGGCCTCCATAAAACAGAATATAGTGTAAAAAGGCTGATGGGTCACAGTTTGGTCCTGCAGGACCTTTTGGACTTTTCACACGGTAGTGAAAGTCTGACGTCACTAACACAAAGGTGAGTGTCATCATTTAATGTTTGTGCACATTCTTGTTCTAAAAATATTCAAATATTTAATTCATTTTTATCATTTTTAACTTTAAATAAAGGTCTACCACGTGGCACCTCATGCTTTGGGAAACATTCCAGATATTTAACAATTATTAAATAAATCTAAATATTTACTGGGTTAAAGTTTATGAAGCATTCACTCGATTGTGATCCATTTTTCTTCGGTGCGTTTGTTTCGGCACGATTCTTGTCTCACAGTTTTTTAACTTATTTCAACAAATCATATCCAAACCTTCAGCTCTTTCAGAACAATCCTGCTATGGCTTTTGGTATTGGTGCAACTTCAGCTTTTTGAAATATTTAGCCTTTTCTGCCATTTTTTCCTCATAGAAAATGAAATTGAGCTCATTTTACATCCTTCAAATCTTTAGCTCTGTTTACAACATTTTACTGCTCCTTTCACATTTTGTTCAGGTTCAGCTTCTTTCAGCTTCCTTGTGCAAATTTAAACTTTTTTAGCTACTTTCAGCTAATTTCAGCTGTTTTGCTCTCCTTTCAGATTTTTTCTGCTAACTGCAACATTTTTTTGCTTCTTCTAACTTCTTTCTGCTAATTTCAGCTTATTTCTGCAAGTTTGTTTTTTCTACTATTTCAGCTACTATTTAGCTGTTTTATGCTAATTTAAGCTTTTTCAGCTAATTCCACATTTTTTGCACTCTTTTCGAAAATTTTCAGCCTAATTCAGCAAAACTGCTCTTTCCCCTTCCTTCTGGTAATTTAAGCTTCTTTCTGCCTTTTTAGCTACCTTTTAGCTCTTTTTTTTGTGCTACTTTCAGCTTTTTTCAGATAATTTCCACTTTTTGGTGTTTATTTCTGCTTCTTTCAGCCTAATTGGACAAAAGTGTGTTCTTTCTGCTTTCTTATGCTAATTTAAGCTTGTTCTACCTTTTCAGCTACCTTTTTAGCTAATGTCAGCTGTTTTCGGATAAATTCAAGTTTTTAATGTTAATTTGCTACTTTCAGCCTAATTAACTTCTTTCTACTAATTTCAGCTTGTTAAGCTCCTTTCAGCTTATTTCTGCTAGTTTCCGTTTCAGAATCAGCTGAAAAAGCTACAACTAGCATTTTTAAAAATGCTAGTTGTAGCTTTTTCAGCTGATTCCACATTTTTTGCACTCATTTCAACATTTTCCAATTTAATTCAGCAAAAATTTGCTCTTTTCACTTCTAGTAGTTTAAGCTTCTGCCTTTTCTGCTACTTCTCAGCTATTTTTGCTAATTCAGCTTTTTAGCAAATTTCTTAATTTCTGTGCTAATTTCTACTTATTTAAACCTTCTGCTTTCTTCTGCGTAAGCTTGTTCTTCCATTTTGGCTACAGTTCATCATGCTTTTAGCTAATTCCAGCTGTTTTTCCGCATGTTCTTCAGCAATAAGCATTCACACTGCATTTTCGCAGGAAACTCAATTTCTCTAGTTTTACTGACTTTATTTGATAAAACCAGTCAAATGTTATTGTGTAAGTAAAAGGAACTGGGCTCTGTTCAAAATGAGTGGGAAGTTTATCATCAAACACCAACAAAACAAATGTGCCGAAATGTTCCTGCTTTTTGTTTCTGCTCCAGTTTTGTGGCGTGAACAGAATATTCCAGGTCAATCTATGAATTTTAACGACTCCCATAGAAGCGAATACTTCCTCTGCTGCAGGAAGTTCATCCTCTTCATGGGGCGGGCTCAGATTCAGGTCTCGTGGTTTTATTCTCCTCTTTGTTTCTCTCACTGCGACAAAACGTGTGCAAAGGTTCAGTCGTCGTGCTCTGAAAACAAAACCACTCGGGCTACGTTAGTTTTCCAGCGACATCCAGTTTCACTAACAGAACGAGCCGTTGTTTCTGTTTGGGAGCGGGCCGACCCGCCTGCGTCAGCCTTTCAGAGGACGTCCTGACTCACCAAATCCCTGCCGGCCCGTCTGTCGGCTTCGCCAGTTCTAAACACAAAGGGTCTATTTTCATTTAGAAAATGCTGCAGGACCCAACGTCTCACTCACTCTGATTTAATTCGCCTTTTTCCCTCCAAGGAGTCTGAAGGAACGTTCAGCGGGATGTTCAAAAAGTCCACAAAAAGCTCTCAGGTGTTTTAATTAACCACACAACTTGTTACATGTTCAACAAAAAATGATCTAAATATTTCTATCAAGGTATTTTTACTCCTTGAGGATGATTTCTCCAAAAGCACAGAGAACCTTTCAGATGCTAAGGTAACATTTATAAAATCTACACACCCAAACAAAAACAAAATACAAAATGAGTTTATTGCACAAAGCAGAGTGATGAAATGTCTGTTTGTCCTCCAGCAGTCTGAGCTTATAGCAGCATAACTTAAAGGACAGCTCAGGAAACCTGTAGGATTTATCAAAAAGAAAAATCTTAATCCCAGTCTTAAAACTGGACAACGTGTCAGCCTCACAGACACAAACTGGAAGTTGGTTCCACAAGAGAGGAGCCTGGGAACTGAAAGCTCTTCCTCCCATTCTGCTTTTGGAAACTCTAGGAACCACAAGTAAACCTGCAGTCTGAGAGCGAAGTGCTCTGTTGGGAAAATATGGAACAATAAGATCTGTAATATAAGATGGAGCTAGGTTGTTGAGGGCTTTGTAGGTTAGAAGTAAGATTTTGAATTCTATTCTGGACCTGACTGGGAGCCAATGGAGAGAAACTAAAACCGGAGAGATATGGTCTCTCCTACTAACTCCAGTTAAAACTCTGGCAGCAGCATTTACAACAACAAGCCTCAGGTTTAACCTTTTAGCTTGAGCGTTCTTTCCAGAGCTAACAGACCAACGTCACAAGGTCACATTTAATCATGTGGGCACTTATTGTGCCTGACGGCATCGGGACTAATACAAAGTGAAACTTATTATGACTTTTAGCCTTCACTCCTTGTGTTTCAGTCTCCACTGCAACCTATTTAAATCATCGTCCCAGAATGCTTTGCAGTGGTAAAATAATGGTGTTGTCTTTGGGTGAAAATGTCAAAAAGCATACAGTTAATTAAAAACCTTTTTAAATCACCTGCGTGGTTCTGTCGCTGCTGTACAGTCTCATCCATGTTTGTTTGGAAAAACATTTAAAACCTTTATTTTTTTCTGCTGTTTATTCAGAAAGACCCTGAAGACACAGAGACGCACGAGGAGAACAGGAAGCAACTGGAAACCAAAGCGACCCCGGTGAGTCTTTTTGCTTCAGCCATGACTGATCACACAGAACCGATGGACTTCCTGTTCCTCAGAGCCTCCAACTAACCTCCTGATCAGTACCTGCGTGTTACTGAGTCTCTTCTCTCCACCTGTTCTGGTACGCTCCGTCACTTCGTGCGTTTGTGTCCTTGGCAGCACAAAAGTAACATGACCCATGAGCCAGACAGGAGGAAAAGAAGTGGAGCACTGCTGGTCCCACCCAGACTACCTGAAGAGGTCTGAATGGATGTTCTGCTCAGGTTCCTGTAGTTTCATGGAACCGTTCTGACATCTGCTTCGTCTTTGTGTTTCACTGTGATGCAGGAGCTGAAGGAGACACCCGGCAGAGGACAGCAGAGAACTCCTCAGGAGACGGTGCGTTTCTTTCATTTTATATTTTTGAAAACGTTTTTAGCCATTCTTAATATCAGCTATCTGCTTTCTGCAGAGGGAGAGGAGCCCCAGAGAGATGGAAGGAAAAGGTTCAGAACCTCCTGCGGTTCCTGCCAGAGCTTCAGAGGTGAACGAGCCGTTCTGTCCTTGAATCCAGGATGTGTCCATGTTGTACTCTTTACTCCTCTTGACTCAGGAACCCGCGTTGGTTTCATTTCAGGAGATGGACAAAATAAACGGACCTCAGCGAGAGAACAACCAACAGGTGTGTGTGTGTGTGTGTGTATCATTTATATCTTTGCTTTGATGAAGGTTTCTGATTAAAAACACAAATTTCCCTTCAGAGAAACACGTCAGTTGACTTTATGCTTCATTGTTTTTAGTATTTTTACGGGGGAGTTGTGGCTCAGAGGTTAGAGAAGGTGGGCCTGTGATTGGAAGGTCACGGGTTCAACTCCCCAGAATGATAACGTCAAAATGTGGATGGGAAAGGTGAAGCACCCACACCTGCCTCCACCCTCATTAGTCCCACTCTGGGCCCTTAAGCAAGGCCCTTAACCCCCACCATCTGCTCCCCCTGGGTGTAGATTGCAGCTCCCTGCTCCACACAGAGGGCTGTGGTAGCTCGGTGGTCTGTGGTTGTGTCAGGAAGGGCGTCTCTTGTTTAAAAAAAAAAATTGCCAAGTCTTCCTGCGAGGTAGTTCACTGTGTTGACCCCTGAAGAAGGGAGCAGCTGAAATAAAGAGGAAGTTTTGAATATTTTTATATCCTCAAATCATTTATATGCAACATGGAGAACCGTCTTCGGTCAGGGCTACACTTGTTTTGATCATCAAACCAGTAGGATTTTGTGACTCAATGTTTAATATAAAAGTTCTCACAATGCATTGATGGAGTTTTCTTAATTTCACCAGAATTGTCCAATTGTTTGGGATTAAAACGACAAATTTTCTAATCTATATGGCGTTCATGTTTTTAGTTTACAAGACTGTGGTGAGACCAGCTATATTGTATGGACTGGAGACGGTGGCATGGACAAAAAGACAGGAGACAGAACTGGAAGTGGCAGAACTGAAGATGTTGAGGTTCTCCTGAGGAGTGACAAGGATGGATAAGATCAGGAATGAGGTCATCAGAGGTACAGCACAGGTTGAACAACTGGGAGATAAAGTTAGAGAGACCAGACTGAGATGGTCTGGACATGTCCAGAGGAGGGATAGTGGTTTGGACATGTCCAGAGGAGGGACAGTGGGTATATTGGTAGAAGGCTGTTAGAAATGCAGCTGCCAGGAAAAAGACAAAGAGGAGATCTATGGATGAAGTTAGAGAGGACATGGAGGGAGTTGCAGTGAGGACAGAGTGAGATGGAGGAGGATGACTCGTTGTGACTTCTGAAGAGGGAAAAGCCCAAAGAAGAAGAAGAAGATGGCGTTCATGTTTTCTCTGTGATTCGCTTTGGTGATACGTGAACAAACTTTGTCGATTTCCTGCAGAAACAATCGGAGGGCGACAAAGAAGATGAACGGACTGTAGCGAAAGACGACGACAAGAATCGGCCCGAGAACAAACCGGTGAGTTTGTCTCATCACGACCGTGGGTCAAACAGGACGCGGCTCATTTCTCAGTTTTAGTTTTACTCTTAGTTTTTTCAAATATACGGACTGTGTATTACTTTGATATTAAAAGTACTCATCACAAAGTATGAAAACAACAACAAAAGTTATCCTGAACTAGATCAAATGGTGCCGTTTGACACCGTTCACTCGACAGTTTTCCAGATATCTTGATTTCCAATTCTGAAATGTGGGTCCGTACTCCATATAAACAAAGCACCGAGCCGGGTCAAAACCACGTGGACGCTTTGGTTACGTGCTTGACCGGCATTAGGCTGGCTGTTCCTGTAGGTAAACAAATATGGCAGAACACGTGTAAAATGTTTGGGTTGGAACTCTACGACCGTTCAGACTGAGGTGGCTTTAAAAAAACATCAGATCTGATTAAAAGAACTGGGTTGGACTAGAAAACAATAGACTGGGCCACTGTTGCCTGCATTGTGATTATAATTAATGCCAGGCTGGATCGGATGATGAAGGCCTGAAAGATGACGAAGACTCTTCTCGGCTGTGGAGGTGTGCTAGCTGCCACGTGTTAATATTAGAGTTCATGCGGCTCCTAATCACTGCTAACGAAACATTTTAGTCGTCTTTTTAGGCACTAACGCTCCGACCCGTTTGGTGTTTTCAGACCAACGTGAAGAAACCGAAGCGACTCAATCCCTTCATGCCTCAGGTTAAGGTAAAGTTCACAACTGTGACTCGTAAAAACACTTTTGCACAATTCAGAATTGGAGACAACAGATTTATTATGATCGCCTTATTTAACGTTTCCTGCAGAGATGTAGAAGATAGCTTATTTATTCCTTTTTTTTTTTAAATAACAAACATGTTTAAAATGTTGAATAAGTTCAGCTGTCAGAACAACAACTAACAAACTGAAGCAAAGGCAGCTGGGCTTTGTTTTAACTCTCACACATTTTAATTCTCATCCAGGGAGTTTTTTTCAATTCTACGACGGAGCTTTAGGGCCATGCTAAGAAAAAAAAATTAAAAGTCATAAAATTACGAGAATAAAGTTGTACGAGACTTTTTTTTTTTAGCTCTCATTTATTTTTTCCACGAGTCAGATCCACAACTCGACCTGTCAATCAATCCAGTAGGCGTGTCAGTAAATGACCAATCCGAAGCTAAATGCTCTTTACCTGCAGAGCTGCTGCAGCCCATCAGAGCGTACCACCTTACTGTAAGTAGGTTCAAAGTCCTGATACTGATAATAATCTGATGCTGATGTGCTGACAGATTAACTATCTCCTTATTATGTAAAATCAATACCAAAGTATAATTTAACAAGATGCTCAACATTCTTCATTTTACCACAGTTAAAATGTGGTAAACTACTTTATCGTGTCCAAGTTCGGATAATATTACGACTCATTTAGCTTCGGATTGAACATTTGCTGACACGCCTACTGGATTGATTGACAGGTCGTATTGTGGATCCGACTCGTGGAAAAATAAACGAGAGCTGTAAAAAAAAAAAAGAAGTCTTGTACGACTATTCTAGTAATATTAAGACTTTACGACTTTGTTCTCTTAATTTTGTGGCTTTTAATTTTTTTTCTTAGCGTGGCCCTAAAGCTCCTTCGTACAATTCTAAACTGAAAGGTATGAAGTTTTAATGTTGCTCCGCACCATTTTGGTGATTTTAATTCAATTCACTGAATGTGAAGTAAAAGTAACTCATCTGATATTTCATGAGTGTCGGTGTGTATTTTTTTTAAATACAAAAGAGATTGAGTTCAAATCTCCTGTAAATCTTCATAGTAAAAATCTTCTAGTAAAGAACAACAAGGTCAAAGGAAAGGTTTACAAGACAGTGGTGAGAGCAGCTATGTTTTATGGTCTGGAGACAGAGACATGGACAAAAAGACAGGGGACAGAACTGGAAGTGTCAGAAATGAAGATGTTGAGGTTCTCCTGAGGAGTGACAAGGATGGATAAGATGAGGAATGAGATCATCAGAGGTACAGCACAGGCTGAACAACTGGGAGATGGTTAGAGAGACCAGACTGAGATGGTTTGGACATGTCCAGAGGAGGGACAGTGGGTATACTGGTAGAAGGATGTTAGAAACGCAGCTGCCAGGAGAAAGACAAAGACGAGATGTATGGATGCAGTTAGAGGCAACAGCTGAAGGAAATTCAGTGAATCTGTTGAACAGAAGATGCTTGTTCTTTGCTTCCAGTTTAGTTTGTTTCCTGTTTGTCTTTTTCTGCTGACTGATCTTCGTCGTGTCATTTTGGGCAGGTAGTAAATCTGAAACGTTTCCTTCCTGCATGAATCACCAACTTGTAAAAATAGTTTTGGTAGCTAAACGCTCAAAACCTTTGGATCAGCCTTTATTTAAACTGTATGTATTAAAAAAAAAACAAAGATAACTTAATAAATCAACCTATTAACCGTGATTTATCATCTTATTTTGAACTCTTTGTTTTAATCGAACCGTTTAGTTAAATGTTAAAGTTGGTCTGATTGTTTGTGTTCAATAATTTCAGGCCAGAGTTATTCAGAAGGCACAAGACGGAGCAGCAGGCAACTCAGCAGAGGTACAGAAAATTACACCCATTTATTCTCTGAAAAACAAAAGTGAAACTGGTGTTCCTTCTTTCATTTTCCTTCTCACTCGCAGCTGTACGTTAAAATCAGATTTCAGTATTTTCCCACGCGATCTGTTCCAGTATTACTGTGGATTAAAGTGACATTTCATAAATTTACTCGTGTTTACGGATGACAAAAGCCCAGTTTAGTCACTTGACTCCCTCTGCTCTGAAAACAACCCCGCTCTCGCAGATACTCCGTTTGTCTCCAGGGCCGCTCAGCTCCCAGCAGAGACTTGTTGTCAGCGTGTTTTTACCCATGTTGACATGAAATCCATCCCCACCCCCACACAGTCATAGCTGTCTGTGCATGTCCTCAACATGAAAGATGAGCTGAGATTAGGCTTCAACGCGGAACTTGTTTTTATGGTTCTTTTTTTGTTTTATTATTTGCATCCCCAAAAGCTTTTGGTTCTTTTTACTTCTGAAAATCAGCACAAAGTTCCGCACAGTTAAAATATCTCTCCCTCATACTTCCTCTTCTTTTTCTGAGTTTAAACTGGATTCAAAGGAAAAAGGGGAAAACACTTTTAATATTTAATTTAAATTCCTGCACATCATTCCCAGTCTTGCACACATCATTTTCTAGTTTGTAGAATTGTATGCATGACAGATACATTTCCCAGTGCCATTAAAAGTTCAGAATAATTCTGATTTTATTTTTCCTCAGAATGAAGGGTCCAGCAGGTCTTTATTTGACCGACTGGAAGACTTCCGGATCGACCCCTCACAGCCTGAAGCCGGTCAGGTTGGTCTCTGAAACCAAATATGTTCTCGCGTTTAAATTTTAAACATGTTGCCTCATTTTTTGAACAGCAAACGTAAACGTTACAGCCTGCTAATGTATTCTTGTTCTTCAGGATGTGGAAGATCTCATGGAGTGGTGGAACAGGGTCGAATGTAAGCAACGTTTACGTTTTTTTTTTTTCTTTTTATATTTTGAAGAAAGACCCCAGTTTGGACACTAGTGTTCACTTTTAGAAAACACTATTTCCAATTTTTAACAAAACAATGCTTTATGTACTAAATTATCCATGTTCAAAATAATTTGTGAAAATCATTGTATAAACTAACAATTAAGCACAGAGGTCATTATTATAAATATGAGGCTGGTGGTATTTCCATGTGATGCTACACAGTCATGAGTGTAAAGTGTGTACAGCATGGGACTGAGTACACATCCTTGCGACATCCCTTGTAGCATTCTTGTAACGTATATAAAACATAAATATTCATCCATCTTTTTATTTTCCTTTCACAGCATGGGAGGACACGCCTCAAGCAGGGGACATGACTGAAAAAGAAGAGGCCAAGTAAGTTCAAGTGTTTTTAAATCATGTTTCTTTGTGTGTTTTTTTTTTTGTTGCTAGAAACGTTTAAAATATTCTGGCTTCCAGAGACTATTCTAACCAGGTGCTAACAAGATTTCTATGGTCATTCTCTCTGCTCTTCGTTTTTCAGAGCATTTGCTGTAACGGCGGAGAAAGTTCAGAAGGGCATCCGTGTTTTCAATAAGCTGTTCTCAGAGCGCGCTGAGAGCCTCTGGCAACACGTTATTGACCTAAACGCCATCGCCGAAAGCCTGGACAAGTTCAACAAGAACACGAAGATTGCTCAAATCACTGGTGGCTCTACCAGTGCCATTGGGGGCGTTGCCACCATTGCAGGCCTTGCCTTGGCTCCAGTCACCATGGGAACCTCTCTGATTGTCACAGCGGTAGGTTTGGGCGTTGCGACAGCAGGTGGTTTGACATCAGCGGGCGCCGGCATCTCCAACCAGGTCAACAACTCTATGGACCGCAAGAAGGTGGAGAAGATTGTGGAGGACTACCAAGAGAAGATCACCGACCTCAACAAGTGCCTGAAGTACATCAAGCAGGGGATTGAGAACCTGCGCAGGTTTGATCTGATCAAGATGAAAAAACACGCCTACAACCAGGACTTCCCGGCGCTCACAAGTCAGTTCTACGAGGATGGCGCCATGGCGGGTAAGGCGATCCTCGTCAACGCCAACGAGATCATGCGAGTGGTTCAGATTGCCAATGTGGCAGGCAGCACAGCGGCCAGAGCGGTCCAGATCGCCAGCATGGCCACTGGCGTACTCACTGGCCTCTTTGTAGGCATGGACATTTACTTTGTGGCTAAAGACTCGAAAGAACTCAAGAAAGGCGCAAAATCTGAGTTTGCTGCAAAAATCCGGGAGGTGGCCACACAGCTGCACGAGGGTTTGGTGGAGTTGAACACAATCCGACAAGAGCTACAGCCCACCGAGCCAGAAAAGAACACGATCGACAAAACCAAACATTTAGCCAGTGTAAAGAAAGACACAATGGACAAAAACAGCAGCTCAGACAAAGATGAAATCCACTGCGTTTAAAAAAACATCAAAAAGGACATTGAGAGCAAAGAATACGTTTGCCGCAAACCCATCGCAGAATAAACTCAACTTTGTTCTAGAGTTTTATTGTCCAGACGTCAAATCAAACTGACTCCTTAAAATCTGGGCTGTTGGCTCTTTTCTGACTCTTTGTTGTACCAAATCTACGTCTCTGTCGAGTGAAACTGACGAGTGGTTTTCAGTTATGAGGTTCGGCAGCTGTGTGAAATATTTGGTTGGGAGCAGTTTAAATCAACAAAGATGCAGTGAATACCGTAATTTTCGGACTATTGAGCGCACCCGAATATAAGTGGCACCCACTAAATTAAAAAATAATATAGACCGCGCTTGTCTATAAGCCACGTTGTAACATGAGATCTTTACACAGAAAGATTTTTTTATTTTATTTTAATTAAATACGTACCCGTAACATACACAAATACGTAGAGTAAATGTTTTTTTTTCTGAACAGTGCCTAGAACACGGCTGGTAAAAAAAAAACTAACTATATATATATATATATATATATATATATATATATATATATATATATGTATATACACATTAACCTATCAGGAAGTCATTGATTGCTATCTTGATCTTCCTCCCGTGCATACTAGTGCTGTCCTCCTGCTCAGCTGTCAGGATCCACTGGCAGACTTGAGCAAAGAGTCCCCCATCACATGCTCCACACATGCAGGGGAATTCCCACTGGTTTTCTCTTCCCCTCCCCATTTCATTGGCCTCCCCTCCTTGTTTCATTGATCCACTGTGACCTGTTCTGTAATTTCATTGGTCAGATTTTTTAAAACTTTTATTTATACAGGTAGTCTCACTGAGTCACGAGGACCCACCCCAGAGAGACACGTATTGGTCAGCCATGTGAGCACCCGGGTGTGACGACGCTAAATGTTCTGGTGGCACGAAGCTCATTAGCCCATCAAAAAAAAAATCCATAAATTAGCCGTAGCATTGTATACGCCGCGGGGTTCTAAGTGTGTGGAAAAAGTAGTGGCTTATAGTCCAGAAATTACGGTACTTTTCATAATTTAGACCCAAGTGTATTTGGATGTGTCGTATGTCCTCAGAGACGAGTGCCTTCAGAGGACAGTGGTGTGTAGGTTTCCTGTTTTTGTGTCTGGGATGAAGTTAAACGTCTGCTTGTTCATTTTAACGGGTGGATAGAAGACGAAACGACAAAAGAAAGATTCACAAGGATTAAATTAAAGTTTAGACAGAAAGACAAGAAGTTTTTTTTTACTACAATAAATGCAACTTTACCAATAATACCAGGTGATATCTGCACAATAAAAGCATTAAACTGCACAAAACTACAAGCAAAAAAAAAGTTTTGATATATTCATCTTAACTGCCAATTTGTTTATTATTTTATTCTTTTTATGCACTTTTTACTCGTGTTCATGCAGATTCGATCTTGGTTTGTCGTTTTAATCAATGTTCTTTGCTGCATTTTTGTACTTTTATGATGAATGTCTGGTAGTTCACACAGCTATAAAGCATAAGTTTATTAATCGTGTTTTTCTTTGAACTGGTCGACAGTTTGAACTGTTTAATGATTTATCAGGTGAATGGGAGTTTTGTCAATAGCTTTTTTTTTATTTTTGAAGAGTTTAAAACTGGAAACTTGTTGTTTTAACAGTTTGTTTTATTGGTTGTAAACCTGCTGACCTAAAATCTTGAACTGCTGAAAATCTTCACGTTTAATTAGAAACATTTGGACTGTTTTTGAGAAATATTTCCTTCATGCTGTTTGTTTGTCCTGTTCTGATGGTGTCAGCTGGTCTGTAGTCAAATTTATTTCTATTTAACTTTTCTTGTCTGAGGACTTGGATCAGCGACACTTTTTTTTATGTGCAATATAATGTTCATGTGAAATAATCAAACTTGTCAAAATGAAATACCAGACTATTTGTTTATTATTGTCATTTTTTAAAACAAACTCCTCAATAGAGTCAGCTGTATTTCTACTGAGCTGCCTTTAAGCATGACAGTAAATCTAGTTTTCAGTTTTTTTAAATTTTTTTTTATTTCCAAAACTTTTAAATTACATCTTGAGCTGTTTGATGCAGCAGTCGTGGCATTAATTATCTCACCCCTTCTCCACCACAGCTGGTTTAACCCGCCTGCTGCCCTCGGGTCAAAACGACCAAGACTGAGTCCTCGTAGTAAATTTTTATTTTCAAATGTATTTGTCATATTTATTTCTAAATAGATTAGTTCCTGACTGTGCTGACAATATCAAAACAATTTTCATTTTAACTTTAAATAGGCAGAAGTTAATATGTGACATTTAAACACAGTTTTGTTTGAAAAACCCAACTAATTTTTACTTTAGTATATAGAAACAGTTTTTATGGACTGTTATTTAGACTCATATTTTCTTAATAACTCAAAAATGTGCATAAATATGTTCTTCACATACTGTTGTGAGCCAGCTTTTAAAATTCAGAATAAAGCATGTTAAAAATTTAGTAAAAAGAAAACCTTGATTGAATAGAATCTATATTGCACTGTTGCAAATGTAAAATGGATAAACAGCATATATGAAAAGCACCTTTCCCAATAGATAAACTCAGTCTTCCCTGTAGAAAATCTAAAGCAAACTTACATAAAACAATAAAACACAATATATAAAACAGAGGTTTAAAATTTGGAACCAAAACAACAAGTAAAAACATAAAAATGTGGTCATTTTTTGGGACAGTGTGTATATGTACTTTGTAAATGTACATTGTACATGTACAAATATGTATGTTTGGAGCAGCTGTTGCTGAGTGGTTAGAGCAATCGTCCTCCGATGGGAGAGTTGGGGGTTCGATTCCACTAGCAGTAACATGCTCAAGTGTCCCTGGGCAAGACACTGAACCCCTCATTACCTCTGACGTTTTTCCCATCAGTGTAGAATGTGATCTAAAACCACTGATTAGTCTTTGTATAGAAATAGTAGAGTGCTGTATGAAAGGGGAAATGAGGACACAGATTGTAGTGTAAAGCACTTTGAGTATCTTGGTAAGATAGAAAGGTGCTATATAAGTACAGTCCATTTTACAGCCTCTATCCAGTATAAATCATATTTAAATGAATCAGCCTTTGGCAATTTTTTAAAAATACAACAACAAAATCATGGCAACACAAAGATGGAAGCAGAAAAGCAACAAAGAAGGTAAATAAAGAAACACAAGTGTACAAAACATCTTTTATATTATGACTCTATTTAAATATGCAAATATGAATATCTTCACACTTTTAACAAATACTCTACTCTGAGCAATATGACTGCACTATATATACAGTATATATACAGTATATATATGTGTGTGTGTGTGTGTGTGTGTGTGTGAACGGTATGTATTTATAGTATAACATAATGTTATGAACTTAATTTATGAATCAAACTCATTAATATATAAAATTATGTGGAATTTATACATCTAAATACATAAAGCAGTATTTTTTTTTAATAAAATCGTTTTAAAAAATCATAAAATAAGTTAAAACATTTTATCTTCTCTAACTTCTTACTGACTACACTTGGGGGCGTGGCTAAAATCGAACCCATTATTTCCGAGCTTTTGCGGAGTTATTGAACGCCTCCCGAGGGCAACAGTAGGGCGCGTGCGGACAAGTTTTAAAAAACTGCCGATAGGCGTCGATTTAACATGAATCTCTGCAGCTTCGCTGCCCTGAACGAGCTCCGGTAGGTGAAGTGGCTGACTCCCACCCTCGGTGCGATGAGTGTGGTCGTGTTGAAATGCTTTTTGTTGTTACCGTAAATTTACCGACGTTATCAAGAATTTAAGTGAATTTTGCGAGTTTTAATTTGTGTCCTAGCTAGCGAACCACTGAGTGGGCCTGGCGCATGCGCATAAGGACTGCTCATTTAACTCAAATATTTATTAAAATATATATTTATAGATTACTTTTTCTTGGAAATGTACCCCATTTTCCCACCACTGTATATTTTATGTGTTTATTTGTTCATTTAATATATGTTATTGTTACAAGTAGTATTTTATTTATAAAACTAGGAGTTGCTGTTAGTGTCTACAGTGTGACTATAAACACCTGTTATTACAGTTTCTGTTGGACGTTTATAACCTTTAATAATAAAATCGAGTAATGAACTCGATTTTGTGGCTCTATTATCTGTTGACACACAGCTTTTTTCAAATATCAGCATGTTATGCACAAATATAACAATTTTTTGTGTTGTCCCATGTTAAAACTTTCCTCGCTTTTTTATAATTTTTTACAAGGTCACTCATAAACAAAGCCTGTTTTTATATCTCCTTCTGATTTTATAGTTTGATTTTACTGTATTATATTCAACAGCTGATTGTCGGTGACGTAAGATGATGGCTGAGCGGATTTGATTTGCTTAAAAAGGCAATATTAATTCAAGCTTCACTCTTTTTTTGTAAAGCATGTCCTTGGAGAAGATGAACCCCAGCAGGTGACAATTTTATTGACAGGAAAAAAAATACAGTGGATTGTCCCCAATCACATAAAAATACAAGTTTGTTACCTGAGATTTGCTTCAAAACAAGACTTTTACTGAACTTTGAGGAAACTCGTCTTCCTTTCATTTAAATGACTAAACTTTAACTTTAAAGTTAAAATGGTAGTTTAATTTTAAAAGCTGCACAACCATTTGAATATGAAAACATCAAATGTGTCAAAACAAAGCTTTTGTAAAAAAAAAAATCCACTGTTGTCTTTATTAATTTTTTTTTACAAATAATAACTCACTGACAAAAAATATATAGTTGCAGCCAGATTTAGTGAAATTATTTAACCTACGCTCCTAAAATTAGACAAATAAACGCTGAATATGACTCGTTTACACAATAAGAAGCAGAGTCAGCCATCAGTAACTGTGCCAGTTCTTCTGCCAGTTGGTTATTCTTCTTGTGATAAATTAAAATGTGTTTTAACAGAAGTCATGTCAGGTAAACGTTTCACTGAAAACCTGCAGCGTTTCTGTTGCATCATCGTCCTCATCAGGGTAGCATCAAGGGACTGAGTACACACCCTTGCAGCATCCCTTGGGGCATTCTTGTAACATATATATAAAACAAATGTTCATCCATCATTACATTTTTCATTCCCAGCATGGGAGAACACGCCTTAAGCAGGGGAAATGACTGCTTGTTTTTTTTTTTCAAATGTGCCATTTGAAAACTATATTTGTGTTGGTCTGGACTGGAGTAACTTCATGGAGATTTCCAGACTTATAATTAAAAAAGGGGGATCGCCAAGCTTCACATGCATAACAAATATTACGCGAAGGGATTTCCAGCAAATGAAAAGGGTCATTTTCAAAGACAATTATGTCAGCTGGAAGAAAAAGGATTATAACTGAAGACAAACAAACTTAGATTTAAAGGTAGATCACCAGATTTTTGCACTTCAGCTTGCGCTCATTACAACTCATTGCAGCACGAGTCGCGCGTTTATTATTATTGTTTGATTGTGTGAAATTTTCTTATGTATCCTTTTGTGCCGATTGCTGCTCAGACACCGGAGCATTCCCACTGACAAACGAATAAACACATTTTTAATTTTATTCTTTTCTTGTCCAGTTCATATGGCTCAGTTTTTGGAAAAAACGCAACTGGCACAATCCGCTTTAAACCAGTGTGACCATTTACAATTCACAACAATTTTCATTCCTTAATTTTTAATTTTGCGCATCTGCAGCCTTCATTTCAGTTTAAGTGTTCGCGTCTGCAACACATTACAGCAAATTCAAGGATACAAGGATTTTTTTTATTGTCATACCTGCTCACATTTGCATGTTTATGGTACAAAATTCAAACTCAGTTCCCAGTAGTACGATATACAATATCCCCTGCTATCAGTTGAAGTTGTTTTTTTCCCATTTAAAGGTCCAGTTTAAAGATGTGTTGCGATGCTTTCTGTACCATTTTGAATCTTTCCTGTTAAACTCTGAATCTGTGTTCCTCCCACAGGCGGTATGGAGGTCTGGATGATGAAATCAGAGGTCAGAATGAAGCCGAAACCAGTGAGAACACCTGCAACACGTCGTCTGCACTAAAAGGGCTTTTTATGTAAACTCCACCTGATGTGCCCCCCATGTGTTGAATTAACCGTAAAGTTTAAGTTGCCTCCATTTATGCTGTAACTGTAATGTAGGTAAGTGTGTTACTTTATCTAAACAATTAGATTTTATTATTATTTTTATTTTACTGAAATGTGACTAAATGTGAGTAAATGTGACGGTGACTGTCGCCCATTTTTAAACATGAAATCACATCAGTAATTTATTAGACTTCAGAAACAGGTTTTAAACCCTCCTGCTGCCCTTGGGTCAAGGACTCAGTTTAAAACTGATGCCTTGTTTGACCCAAGGGCAGCAGGAGGGTTATGCGAGGTCATCTTGCCTCCAGCAGGCAGATTACTCCATGTGTCACTTCAGTTTCACTTCAGTGTGTTTTGCACCTTTCATATTTTTCAGACTATAAAATTATTTTCATGGAGAAAATATTTATAAATAAAGTTAAAACAAATCTCTGCAGTGCCTTAAAATGTTTTGTTTGAAATCAGCTTCAGAATATTAACTCTTGTAATCTTAGGCTACTTTTGGCTTTTAGCTACCATTCTGCTACTTTTAGTATCATTCTACTTTTGCTTCTTTGAGATTTTAGCAATCATTCTCCTACTTTTAGCTACCATTTTACTACTTTTATTTACTGTTTTGCTGCTTTAGGCTTTTAGTTTATGTTCTGCTATTTTGAGCTTTTAGATAGCTTTTTGCTACTTTTAACTGGCCTTTTGCAGCTTTTAGCTAGTGTTTAGCTCCTTTTAACATCTAGTTAATCATTTCCCTTAACAAAAAGTACTACATTTGAAGTTCATTTTTGCAATCTGTCCTGTTAAGTATAAGTGTATCAAGTATACTACATACCATACTTGTAGTGTACTAGAAAGTATACTGATTTAATACTTGTTTGGACTAAATTGGGACATTTTTATACTATTTTTAAGTATATCAAATAAAGGTTATAAAAAGTAAACTTCAAGTACACTTCCTCATGTTTAGTGTAAAATAAGTATACTTGTAGTACACTTAAATAAACTACTTTTTGCTAAGGGTTGGTTTAAGCTTTTAGCTAGCTATATGCTACTTTTAACTGTCCTTTTGTTGCTT